TATTTATTTCTTTATGAATGAAATGAATTCCACAAGTCACACTATTACAACAATCATTATTTCTAGATAAAAATGATATTGTGAAGAAATGTTATAAATGAATCACATTTCAATGTGAGCTTATTATCTCTCGTAATATACAAGTCATCTCGAGAAAGCAGTTTTTTAATAATTTATTTTTGTGAAAACTACATATTTTATATTGTATAAGATATATCATATAAGATATCAAGATATTTTTATTTGATTATATTTTTCCTCAACATAATATATTAAATCTTATTAATCATATTATAGAGAATTCATTTGGGATTGTGAATATAAAAGAATATATAAGGAATATGAAGAATACACGCACGCGCGCGCATAATTTTTTTTTTTATACAATTACTAAACAAATCTTAAATCTTTCATGTATGTGTTTGTTTATGGTTCTAACTTATTACAAGAATGTTTCTGTAAATACCAAGAGAGATCTTTCATCAGATAAGTCATAACTAAGAAGAAAGGTCGATAGAGAAATCGTTATGCTGAGAAGATAGCGTGACAGCGTGAAAAAAGATACAGTAAAGTACGCAAATTTGTAGAATAGATGATGAAAGCGGAGAAGTGTCAACAAACTTGGATTAATAATTAATAATGTTTAAAAGGCGCGGGAAAGAACAATAGGAACTTTTTATTAATTATTATCGCAAGTATTTGAAGAAAAGAAAAAAACATATCGTACTTATGGAACATATATTTCAATAATATAGAAAATATTGATAATAATTCTTAATTCTTAATTTTTGCAGTCTTTCATCTTCGATGGAAACATTTCATAATAATAATAATAATAATAATAACAAATAATGCTAATAAAAGACGGATTGCCAAGATTTTACAGATTTTATAAAATATCGCAATTTTATTTCATTTATGTGATACAGAAGTTTAATACTATCTCTTGACATTTTTTCAGTATTTTTGCAGTATTTTATATTATTTAAAAACAAACGCCCAAATTTTATGAATATAATTATAATATTGATAATATCGCGATATTCAAATATATTCGCAATAATCACATCTCGCTTGATGAGAGAATGTTTCCTTCCTCCTGCAAATTTTATTGCACTTTATGCGGATCGTTCAAATTGTTATTGATGAAAAATATTTGATTGCTTGATGTAAAATATTGCTATTCAATCATCAGAAGAAGACCATCATAGAAGACCATCGAACACTATAATGCATGCAAAACAAGAAGAAAGAAGAACAAAGAGAAAGCAGATATAAAATTCAGACATCAGTAGTGTACGCAAGCGTTTAATCTGACGCGATAGAAACTCGCTGCGATGCGAGAGGCTTCTCCATTCGAATCAATACAGCACATACTCGTACACATACTCCGGTAATCCGCGGATATATATATATATATATATATATATATATATATAGAC